CCTGGTGTGTGTGCTCAACGTCTGCTCTGAACTTAACAATAGCATGTTGTTGTTGTTCAGTCACTAAGTCATGTCTGACTCTTTGTGACCCCATGGACTGCAGTACACCAGGTTCCTCTGTCCGTGGGATTTCCCAGGCAAGAATACTGGAGTGGGTTGTCATTTCCTCCTCCAGGGGATCTTTCTGACCCAAGGATCAAATCTGTGTCTCCTACATTGGCAGGAGGGTTCTTACCTCTGAACCACCTGGGAAGCCCCAGTAGAACAAATGGGTATGTTTGTTGTTTCTACACATTATGGATGAGAAAACAGCCTGAGCATCATGTGCCCAGGAGAATTGAGCTGGGGTCGTAGCCCCAGGTTCTTTGCTCTACCTATGTGGTCACTCATGCCTGACTTGTACTTCTACATGGTTCAGCTCCATAAGGAAATGGAAACATATTGATGTTTTTTAGGTGAGAACAGGAAACTAAAACTTTTGAGAGGGTTATTCTGTAGAATTCCTTAGATATCCATAGGGAAGTAGATACTTATATCCACTTCAGACGCAAGACTCTGATGCCAAAAAGCATTATCTCTCTTTTGCACAAAGCACAGTCAAAATCAAGAGGTTATAGGCCCTGCTGACTGCCGTGAGGATGTTAGTGACACAGTTAAATTTGAGTAAACTCCATATCAGTCCCTGTAATGGAAGTTATGGATACATAGTTCACTGAGGACTGGATTCGGTTCCCTTCACATTCCCCGAACTCTCTTGAAAAGTGTTGTCAGTCCCTGTGGTACCTGTTGGAATCAAGTCTCTCTCTCAGCTTCATTTCCCTTTATTATATTTCTAAGTGACTTGGTAATTCTTTGTGGGCTTCAATAACACTTGTACTATTTAAATTTGAATAACCCCAAAGGATCTAGCTAGGTCAATGGGTTTAAACCACAGGCTTTAGTCTGCGTATTAGTTGATTAAAAACAGATTTTATACATGATGGATCCTTAATAAAGGGAGGGGAAAGCAAGCAGATGTTTGTAAAGTCTAAATGTGTTAGATTGCATTTATTTGGAGCTCTTGCTGACTAGCTTTCAAAGTCTTACCTATGACAATTGAACTTTAAAAAGTTTCATGATGCATTTCCTGAGAAATTTCCTGCTCTGAAGGGTCAGCCAAAAAGAAAAGCAAAAGGATTCCCTAGGATGAACGTACAAAAATAAATGGACAGATGTACCATAAAGTCATCATGTCCACGTGAAAGATACTGAATAATGGAAGGCCTCGAAATGATTCTCTTGTCTCAGACCATAAAGTAGTTGCAGTTTGTTTTAATTCAAACAGTAGAAAAACAGTTGGCTTTTGTGGTGCTGGCGGTAAAGAGCTTTGAAAGCAAGTTTTTTTTTTTTTTTAATACAAACATGAGATCATTAAGTTGCACATAAATCACTCTGTCTGGTNAAAGCAAGTTTTTTTTTTTTTTTAATACAAACATGAGATCATTAAGTTGCACATAAATCACTCTGTCTGGTGCATTCTCTGACTTCTTGTGGTATCCCACCCTTCAGGGGAGAAACAGTTCTTCTTCTCCCTTAAAATATGTATACTTGAGGCGCTTTGAGTGTCTCGAAGCCGACATGGAAGATTTCCTGTTGGTCTTCCCGTCCAGATGACATAATTCCCAAAACCTCCCCCTGAACTCTGAACACGTGAGAATTACAGACAAAATATTTTTAATGCATTTTAAAGAATAATAACCAAGCTTAAACATAAGTGGGAAGTCTCCAAGGACCAGAAATGAAAGGACATGCAGAAATGAGAGGTGGGTGGTGAGGGGCCAGTGGGGACCTGAGGGTAAACCTGGTGGGGTGTGTCCCACACGTGGCAGAAGGCTTAGATGCCCCATGCACCTGGAGGGCAGGACTCCCCATGTACACACCAGGCTCAAATGGTACCTCGCACCTTCTCTGGGATTGGAGCCAGGCAGGATTCTCATGGAAGGAAGCAGAGGCACTGTGTCAAACCAGGACTTGTGCCTCTGTGGCACATGGGTGTCTTGTGGGAACGCCTTCTCTGGGAAAGCAGTCTCAAGCCCTAATGACTGAGTAGGCACCTCAGCTGCCTGTGTGGTGCCAATCCCAAGATCACAGCACAGGGGACGAAGTTCACGTCAGATGAGCTGTCAGGCAAAAATTACAAGACCTAAGATGAAACCCATTTCTCTTGAAATGTTATGCAAATACAGGAAAATGTGAAATTGCCTTTTCTCAGAAGAGCTTAAGTATAAGTATATTCAGTTCTCTGGAAGTTGTAGAGGAGACGGTTGCATCCAGGAACAGGAACAGAAAGTAATACAACAAGAAAAGGGAGATGTTATAAAGAACATATTGGAAATGAAAAATGTGGCCAGTGAAATTAAAGTTAGACAATAGGATAAACACTGATGAATAGGCATAACTTGTTAAGAATGACCAGAGAGATTTCTGCTTTGAGATTATCCATTTTGAGCATTCAATAAAAGTGATTCTTTTCCTGACTATACCTTTCTAAATCTCAAATGTAGGAAAATAAAAAGAGTAAACATCCTCAGAAATAAATTTCCCAGTATAATGAACTGTTATCACCTTTATGAAACTGTTGATTTTCAAAATCTCCCTCATACTCTTTCCAGATCCTTTTACTCAAACGGCATTACAAAACTTAGATCTACCATCAGATTGCCTTTCTGTACCTTCACCTAATCCTTTGCCTAATCCTTTGCCCTCTCATGCCTCCCTGAGCTTGTTGTATGAGACTGTGCTGTTCCCCACCAATGGGAACTTCTGTGTGCTCACCTCCACCTGCATTCTCTCTTCCCAAGAAACTCCCACTCATGTTCACCATCCTCCCAGCCTCCGAGAAAAAGGTGTCGTCTTGGAAACCTTCTGAGGCAGCCCGACTCTTCCCCTTCTCTTGTTTACAGCATCTCTATCCCAGTGCTGTGCTCGTTTCTTTGCACATAGGGAGTAGATCTTTTAAGTTTTCCCTCTCATGATCTGGCATGTGGTAGAAGCTTCATTAATATGCATGTCGATGGGCAAAATGGTACAAATAAAGAGTATAAAGAATCAGAAGCCATGGAGAACTCTTAAGGAATCTTACCCAGAACAGAGTGTTACTGTGGTTGAAAATAAGATTAATAGTCATTGTGGGGAATTTTAAATTTGATGTTCTACGGACTTGTGGTTGCCAAGGTTGGGGTGGTAGTAGGGTGGATTGGGAGTTTGGAATTCAGTTCAGTCACTCAGTCATGTCCAACTCTTTGTGACCCCATGGACTGCAGCATGCCAGGCTTCCCTGTCCATCACCAACTCCTGGAGCTTACTCAAACTCATGTCCATCAAGTTGGTGATGCCATCCACCATCTCATCCTCTGTCATCCCCTTCTCCTCCTGCCTTCAATCTTTCCCAGCATCAGGGTCTTTTCCAATGAATCAATTCTTCCCCTCAGGTGGCCAAAGTATTGGAGCTTCTTTTCAGTATCAGTCCTTCCAATGAATATTCAGGGCTGATTTCCTTTAAGACTGACTGGTTTGATCTCCTTGCAGTCCAAGAGACTCTCAAGAGTCTTCTCCAACACCACAGTTCAAAAGCATCAATTCTTTGGCACTCAGTTTTCTTTATAGTCCAACTCTCATCCATACATGACTACTGGAAAACCCATAGTTTTGAATAGATGGATCTTTGTTGGCAAAGTAATGTCTCTGCTCTTTAACATGCTGTCTAGGTTTATCATAGCTTTTCTTCCAAGGAGCAAGTGTCTTTTAATTTCATGACTGCAGTCACCATCTGCAGATACTTTGGAGCCCAAGAAAATAAAGTCTGTCACTGTTTCTATTGTTTCCCCATCTATTTGCCATGAAGTTTGGAATTAGCAAATGCAAACTATTATATATATGATGAATAAACAACATGGTCCTACTGTATAGCACAGGGAACTATATGTAATATCCTGTGATAAACCCTAATGGAAAAGAATATGAAAAAGAATGTGTATATATATATATATAACTGAACCTCCTATACAGCAGAAATTAACATAACATTCTAAATCAGTTATACTTCAATAAAATAAATTGTAAAAAATATGGATATTCTAAAGGAATAGGGCATAATTCTAGATTCTTAAGGAGGATATGTGCTAGGTCACTTCAGTTGTGTCTGACTCTTTGCAACCCTATGGACTGTAGCCCTCCAGACTCCTCTGTCCATGGAATTCTCCAGGCTTGAATACTGGAGTAGCTACCCATGCCCTCCTCCAGGGGATCTTCCCGACCCAGAGATCGAACCCACATCTCTTAAGTCTCCTGCATTGTCAGGCAGGATATTTACCACTAGTGCCACCTGGGAAGTCCATAAGGAGGATAGTGATATGAAAAATGTAACATTCAAGGAAATTTGATTTGGCATTGATAGGCTGATAGGCATAGAATAGAAGCATGTACAGTGAAACGTACTGTGAGTGAATAAACATGTATCATGAGCACTTCTTCTAAATGCCTATAAATGACCATAATGTCAGCAATAGCTGGACTGCTCAGACCTTTCTTCAGGGGATTGACATCAGCCTGCCCATAAGATGGTAAATTCTAAAAATCCAACAGTGGTTGATTTGATATGGGAGTGTATTCCTTCTGTTACTGCCATTTCTGATTCAGATAAGGAATTAGAAATCCAATTACCTCTTCTCTCCCTGGTGCACAACCAGGATATAACCTGTGACTAATTAGTCAGTGAAATATGCCAGAGTTCGTGCACAAAGCAGGCACAAAGAGAGTAAGAAGTGAACATTTTTAAAACAATCTTTTACATGTGATTTTTCAAAATCTAGTATAAATCTACAAGAACTTGAAACTGTAAAGATTTCATTGAGATTTCTTTTAAAATACATCCATTTTCCTGAGTATAAGTAATTTTATGTATACTAAAGTATTAAAAGTGTGCAGAATAATATTTTCCTCTCTCTCTTTTTTCTGAACAGCAAAACTTGGAGAGTAACCTCACCAACCTTATTAAGAGGAACACGGAACTGGAGACGCTTTTGGCTAAACTCATCCAAACATGTCAACATGTTGAGGTGAGTTTCTCTATGTGCTATTTTTCATATGAAAACTGCTTGATCATGGTTTTATACCCTCACCCTTTATATTTTTCTGATGGGAATCTTCTTAAGATTAGTTTTTGCAGAAGCCAGATGTCTAAGATGGATAAAATAAGAAGGAACTAGAACCCTTGAGAATCTCCCCATCCTCTGCTTTGCTCTGCCCCCACTCCTATCACAGCTCTCCCTAATCCAGCTTACTTTAGCATTCCTAAACTTGTAAATTTGAATCACCCCTCCAAACAACACCCCCACCCCGCCAAAAGCACTATTGAAAAGGTGTTGTATTAGTTTCTGATGTCAGCTGTAACAAATTACTGCACACTTGGGTGGCATAAAACAGACACTGATTTTCTTGCTATTCCTAGAGGTCAGAAGTCCAACATCAAGCTGTTGGCAAGCCCTTGCTCATTCTGAAGGCTCTTGGGGAGCCTCTTTTATGCCTCTTCCCACCTCCTAGTGTTTGCAGCCCAGTCCTTGGTGTCCATTGGCTGCTAGATCCATCACTCTAATCTTGGCCTCTGTCATCACATGGCCTTGTTCCTGTGTGTCTCTGTGTCTGTATCCAATTCTCCTTCTTAAAAGGATGCCTGTCATTGGATTAGGCTCCACCCTACTCGAATATGTGTGTGTGCTCAGTCACATCAGATTCTTTGCAACCCCATGGACTGTAGCCCACCAGGCTCCTCTGTCCATAGGATTTCCCAGGCAAGAATACTGGAGTGGGTTGCCATTTCCTCCTCCAGGGGATCTTCCCTATCCAGGGATCGAACCAGTGTCTCTTAAGTCTCCTGCACTGGCAGGTAGATTCTTTGGCACTGCACCAACTGGGAAGCCCACTTCGGTATGAACTCACTGTAACTTGATTCCATCTGCAAAGACCCCATTTCCAAATAAGGTCATATTTACAGGTACCAGGGATTAGGTCTTGGACACACTCTTTTTTTGGGGGGTGGGGTGGGATACAATACAGTTCAACTCACTACAGGTATAATAAATACATCTTAGTTGACAAATATGTTTCCATGAAGTTCACCATAACTGCAGCATGTTGGAATTTAGTCAAGAGCATGCAGGCAGCACTAAAAGCAAGGGCAAGTTGCAGAACACAGGTCTTTGACTGCTTCTGGCAGGAATCATTCCAGGGAGCATGCGGAGCCTTGTTGATTAAATAGCACTGTAAATAATGATGAACAAGCATGATGTTCTCATTATTATAGGGTGAAGTGAATATGTATTATAGAATTAGATGGATGAACAAAAAATGATCCGTGTGCTGTATTTTCTTTTTATGATGTGACAGCATTTGATGTTTAGGAAGGACCAGAAGAAGGAATTATTTCTTGTCAGTTTAAGAAAAAAAAAATGGAAAAAAATTACCTGTCTTTTATGGTGAAATCTTACAAATGCTTTATGGATTGAGTGATTATTTCATTCCATTTCAGCTAGATACTTCTTAAAGCATTAGTGTCTGGTTTCTATTATGGCCTTTAGCAATTTCAGAAGAACTGTTGCTCCTAATGCAACATTAGTGTGGCTTGAACTTAACAAAACACTGTTTGTCCTAACATGAAAAATTATATTCTGTAATGTTCGGTAATTTCAACCGATAGATAGATGTGTCATTCAAGAAATTTACAAGCAAAGTCTATTTTTAATTCAAAAGATTAGGTATTTAGTTGACATACAGGCTTTTAAAATGAAACTATTACTGAATTGCTTGTAGCAGACTTTCAAATAGACAGATAGATGCCATGAGAAATTATTCTAGACAAAGAGTAAAGAATATATTCCATTTGCTGTTGTTATTTCTTTATCAACCATGTGGAATGGAATGAAATGTGTGTGGGTGAATAAATTTGGTATTTAGGAAATTTCTAGATAAAAATCAGGGGAAATTAATTATAAATAGATAAATAATAATGCCAACAGTACCTATTTTTATGTGTTTCTTTATTCAGTTATTCACATTTTCAAGGCAAATGTTTTAAAAATGGAGCATCAAAGTCTCACATCAGTTCAGTTCAGTCGCTCAGTCGTGTCCAACTCTTTGCAACCCCATGAACCGCAGCACACCAGGCCTCCCTGTCCATCACCAACTCCCAGAGTCTACCCAAACCCATGTCCATTGAGTCTGTTATGCCATCCAACGATCTCATCCTCTGTCATCCCCTCTCCTCCTGCCCTCAGTCTTTCCCAGCATCAGGGTCTTTTCAAATGAGTCAGCTCTTTGCATCAGGTGGCCAAAGTATTGGAGTTTCAGCTTCAACATCAGTCCTTCCGATGAACACCTAGGACTGATTTCCTTTAGGATGGACTGGTTGGATCTCCTTGCAGTCCAAGGGACTCTCAAGAGTCTTCTCCAACACCACAGTTCAAAAGCATCAGCTCTTCGGTACTCAGCTTTCTTTATAGTCCAACTCTCACATCCATACATGACTACTGGAAAAACCATAGCTTTGACTAGATGGACCTTTGTTGACAAAGTAATGTCTCTGCTTTTTAATATGCTATCTACGTTGGTCATAACTTTCCTTCCAAGGAGTAAGCGTCTTTTAATTTCATGGCTGCAATATCACCATCTGCAGTGATTTTGGCCCAAACAAACAAAGTCAGCCACTGTTGCCACTGTTTCCCCATCTATTTGCCATGAAGTGATGGGACCGGATGCCATGATCTTAGCTTTCTGAATGTTGAGCTTTAAGCCAACTTTTTCACTCCCCTCTTTCACTTTCATCAAGAGGCTCTTTAGTTCTTCTTCACTTTCTGCCATAAGGGTGGTGTCATCTGCATATGTGAGGTTATTGATATTTCTCCCGGCAATCTTGATTCCAGCTTGTGCTTCCTCCAGCCCAGAGTTTCTCATGATGTACTCTGCATATAAGTTAAATAAGCAGGGTTACAATATACAGCCTTGACGTACTCCTTTTCCTATTTGGAACCAGTCTGTTGTTCCATGTCCAGTTCTGACTGTTGCTTCCTGACCTGCATACAGGTTTCTCAAGAGGCAGGTCAGGTGGTCTGGTATTTCCATCTCTTTCAGAATTTTCCATAGTTTATTGTGATCCACACAGTCAAAGGCTTTGGCATAGTCAATAAAGCAGAAATAGATGTTTTTCTGGAACTCTCTTGCTTTTTCGATGATCCAGCAGATGTTGGCAATTTGATCTCTGGTTCCTCTGCCTTTTCTAAAACCAGCTTGAAGATCTGGAAGTTCATGGTTCACATATTGCTGAAGCCTGGCTTGGAGAATTTTGAGTGTTATTTTACTAGCATGTGAGATGAGTGCAATTGTGCAGTAGTTTGAGCATTCTTTAATCAAATGAATCTGCCTTGAAATTTATTTAATCTTTGATAAAGGAACAAGAGAAATGATAAAGCTGGCTTTATCAGAAACTCATACAAATTTGGAGGTTGGGGGTAGTTGGGGAAAAGAGTGCTAGAATAAGACAGCTAAATTCAATGCAGAACTGGTTAGTGACTGAAAGTGAAAGTGAAGTTGCTCAGTCATGTCCTGAGTCTTTGCAACCCCGTGGACTGTAGCCCACCAGGGTCCTTGGTCCATGGGTATTCTCCAGACAAGAATACTGGAGTGGGTTGTCATTTCCTCCTCCAGGGGATCTTCTTGTGACCTAAGGGGCAATAAAATCATTATATTTGAGCTAAATACCTTGCATCCCATCAGTTTCCTCTAAGTTACCATTAAACTTAGCAGAGACAAAGCCCTCCTCAATAGTCAATAGAAAATCAAGCTCTTTTACATCCCAACCAAGAAAGTCAGATAACTCTTCCTTCAGCTGGCTCAATGGAGTGAAATCTAGTATGTCATCCAAAGGAATCAGTCTTCTTTTTGCCTTATTTCTAAGATGTAGATAATTCAGCTTAACCTGACTTTCTGCTCTTTGGGTTCTGGACTCTGTTGATCTGTTGGTGGTATTCGCTAAACATGTATTTCTGGGTAAGTGTGTCTGTCGAGTTTTGCCTGTCCTCAGTTACTTAGGCTTGTTAAATGGTCACACTGCTTCATTCCATGAGTGCTTGTGGATCCTCCTCTGTGTGTGTGTTTCCCTGTGCTGGGTGGGAACGACCCTGCCTACACAGAGCTCACTATCTCAACTAAGATGAAAGAGCAATAATACACAATGGGAAAATGAGTTCCCGTAAGAGGATTATGTGTGTGTGTGCTTAGTCGCTCAGCTGAGTCCTACTGTTTGCGACCCCATGGACTGTAGCCCATTAGGCTCCTCTATCCATGGATTGTGCAGGCAAGAATACTGGAACGGGTTTTCATTCCCTTCTCCAGGGGATCTTCCCGACCCAGGAATGGAACCAGGGTCTCCTGCATTGCAGGCAGATTCTTTACTGCCTGAGCCATGAGGAAAGCCCATAAGAGAGTTATATGATATACTTTGGAATTGCAGAGAAGAAATTTCTTCTATCTGGGAACTGGATCAGTTAGTACAGTTTCTTAGCCTGCTTTCAAGGGTATGTAACATTCAGACATATGGAGAGATGGAAGAGGCTCTACTTTCAGGGCAAACTAAGGCATGGGGTTGGAAAAATGAAGAGTGTATGTACACACAGTCAGTAGTTCATTCTATAGGAATGCAAGTGTGTGAGGCTGGATAAGCAGGAACTGATTTTGGAGAGATGAGGGGTCAGTGAGCTTTAATATTGCATCTGAGTTTGAACTTGATCTGGTTTTGAAGGTTTAGTGAGGGCTCGAGGAACACTGTGTCAATTCCACAGTTAACATCAGCATCCCTAGCTCTTTTCAGGAAATGATGTTTTTGGGTTATTGGGGAACTACGATGGATATCTTGATGCAAAATGACCACACATCCAAGGGGAAATGTCCCAGTACTAGTAAACTCCAAAAAAGGTGGTGGGATTGGTTAGGCGCCAGCCAGCATGACAGTCTTTTTTAAATCAGTTTAGTGGAAAAGAATTTCCTAGTTCACAACCTAGGTTCCTAG